TTTAAACCGCCAAGAATCGTTCCACCTACGCACACGCTTCTCTGCTTCATACCGTTTCGAACTGTCTCGCTTCTCCTCACCAGTTTTAAAGCGTTTTGCCGGAGATTTCATCAAGAAATCCAATCCCAGTGGTGGCGCGATCTTCCTGCGTGCTTGTGTGTTTCTAGCGTGGTTCCACTTCGTCTTTAATAGTGACTTATAGTTCACATGACTATAAATAATCGTGCAGTACGTGCACGAATCGTACAAGTGCAGTAGGTGGCTAGAGGCGCGCAGGTTCACGCGCGCGAAACGAAAACGGCAGCTTCCTACAGGGCGGGGCCATGATGTAGGCGAAAGCCGATGTGTAAATGACAAATAAAGCTTGGGCGCCACCCGGGCGGTAAGTCGTCAAGTATTTACCGCCCGACGAGAAAATTTAGCGCCAATGGCGCTCGGGCGCTTTAACGGTCCACCCCTGGTATTGCATTGATGTTAGCAGGGTTTCCCCCGGAAAATGATTTAAGCCTGGCGGATTCGACTGGGGGGGGGGTTGCGTGCTCCGTCCCGCAGCGCTCCTCCGTCAGAGCAGGGCTGGGGGGGGTTGCACACATTCCGCTGCTGTTTCTCACCAGTATCAGCTGATGGAGGGCTCTAGTTTCGTTGCGCCGTTCGTGTCAGCGGACACGGTCGGGGAGGGGGGGCGGGGCATGACGCTTAGCCTGGCCGGTGGCCAAGCAAAGCCTGGCGGGCCGCCAGGCTCATAAGGCGCTGGGGGAAACCCTATGTTAGTGTGTAACAGTACAACTTAACTCATTCACAGCCAGAGTTTTTCAGCGTTTTCACAGTTTTTTAAGAGTCACAAAACGTTAAGCTCAATGATGATGTCAACACCAAAACAAAGAGTAGAGTCACCTCTTAAATCTGGAATAAACTGCGCATTTCAAGCATTAGCCATTCTTTCATAATCCATTGCCGAATTGTGACCGGCAGAAGCTTTTCCAGTTCGCGCCTCACTTTTTTACAACAGCGGCCCAAAACGATGTCCTACCACATGGATTTTCTGCTTCCTGATCACGTGGCGGATGAAGATCAGCTTTAGAGCTGGGTTGTTTTTTTCTCACGGTGCAGGGGCTCGTTCCGACACCTGCACAGTAAAAAAAATGCAAAAAAATTAGAAACTGCATGGGCAGTGAACGGTCGGATTTATTGGCAGTGAGTGAGTTAAACTAAGTAGTTATACATGTTTGAGTAGGAATATCACTAGCGCTGTGCAATATGGCAAAAAAATCTAATCCTTATATAGCTCATTTATATCCTGAAAACAATCATATAACATTATTTTATTCTATTCACAGTCCGTATCTTGGCTCGAGTGTTTGCACCAGCTCACAAAGCCCACGTTTCTCGACTGCGTAGATTGGAGCCATACTTTTGTAGATCTGCTAGGCAACTGCAGTAGTGGTCTCCTTCCATCTGCTGGAGCAACCGTTTTCTGGTCCACATAAGCCTTCCTGTATCCAAACCATATCCGTGCCTCCTTCTTTTAGATACAAGCTCCTCCGTTTGGGTCGGCAGGTCATCCTGTTGAAAATTACCCTAGTCTGACCCGCGTCTGCTACAGTATTCCTCCATGTTTGTTAATGCATAGGTAGCATGCATGGGCAAGCCATAGGGTGCAACTTGATGTGAAATACCGCCGTAAAACACCTAACCGTGGTGCAAACAATCAATCAAAGCTTCATTTTTTTTATAATGCACCTTCTGCGACCCTGTCAGGGAGCACAAGGTGCTGAATACCGTACATAAGAAATGTAAATCACAATGATTAAGTAGATCATTAAAGCTATTAAATAATGCAAAGAGGTTAAAACATTAAAGTAGAAACAAATGGATTAAACAAGGGATCAAGTGACTAATAAAAACAGGGAATAAAATCAACATCAAAGAAGGCAGACCTCAAACTCATTCAGGGAACGCCATGTGGAAGAAGTGGGTTTTCAAGCGACTCTTACAAACCGGCAGCTATGGGGACAGTCTAACTGAAGGTGGCAACTGGTTCCAGAGTGACGGAGCTAGGGTTGTCATGGTAACCGGTGTAGCGGTAAACCCCGGTAAAAAAGTTGACAATAATAATAACCGTCTTGTTTTTAAAAACTATATTATCTCGGTGGATTACCGTGGCTGCGGTGTAGGCGCGGTGACCCTTACCAGCCACCGTATCATCTGCTGTAGTTGCCGGCGGAAAATGCGCACTTTATTGTTTACAACCAAAACTCTCTTGAAGCTAAAGCTGAAATAATGGCCAAAGGAGGAGACGACAGCGCTCAGGACATTTATTATCCCTCAAAGAAGACAAAGTGGGAAGTACGGGCATTTTTTTTTTTATATTTGAAGAATGCCGAGGGACAGTTGATAGAAGACGACTATCCTGTTTGCAGCACGTGCAGAAAAAGTGTCTGTGAAAGGCAGCAACGCTTCAAATCTCATGACACATCTGCGTGACCATCACCAACAACTCTACAGTCAACGCAAGGCAAGCTAGCATTAGCGTTTTAGCTAAAATGCGTGATCCGAGGATTTGGGTTGAGGGAGAATGCAACGAGTCGCTATATAAAGCAGCCGCAGCGCCGCTACCTGCATATAAACCGTGTCGCGGACACCGCCATGTTGAAATGACGCTATGCATTACGGGGTTCCCAGGGGCAGATAAGAGTTGGTCTTTCTCCGAGAATAATTATGAATTTAACAACGATTACTGCCTGATGACATTTTCCCACATCTGCAAAGCTCACTGGAAGGACACAAACCGAGGACAATATTCTCCTGATATAGGGTTTATTACTCAAGTAAGGGTAAAAAAGTATCTGATTAGAAGGCTGCTTGAGTACTGAGTATCATCTGATCTAATATTTTTAAAATGATGACATCAAACAGACAAAAATAAGAAGTTATGGGCAAATATTGGTATTTTAAAGACTAAAGGGGAAAAAAGTAAACAAATAAACAACATAATTACAAAATAACACATTTTAGGCAAAATTTAGACACAAACTGAGGACAAAATTTTCCTGATATACAGGGTTTATTTAGTTGTCTGAAAATGTAACACGTTTAAAAAAATACCACAATAATTCAGAAAACTGATAATTTTGGTCACAATAACTGTGAGGTTAAATTTTCACACCGTGACAACCCTAGACTGAGCTAGGACTGAGAAAGCTGCATGGTGGCACAGTGGTTAGCACTGTTGCCTTGCAGCACGAAGGTTGCAGGTTCGAAGCTTGCCTGCGGCCTTTCTGCGTGGAGTTGCGTGTTCTCCCCATGCTTGCGTGAGTTTCCTCTGGGTACTCTGGTTTCCCCCACAGATCACAACATGCCCTATAGGTTATAAATTGTAAGTCGCTTTGGATAAAAGCGTCTGCCATATAAATTAACATAAGAAAGCCCGGTCCCCACGAGTCCGACACCTAGAACGAGGGACAGCGAGCAGGCCTCGGTTTGAGGATCGCAGAGCGTGTGATGAAGATTGTCTGTTCAGGATCGTGGCTAGATAAGGGGGAGGGGCACCACCCTGGAAGAAATTAAAAACAAAAACCAGGAGTTTAAAACGAGAACGATAGCAGACCGGAAGCCAGTGCAGGGAGGCCAGAAAAATCCAAATGTTGTGTGCTGCGTTCAGAAATAATGGCACAGATGGGTGATAAACGGATCTACAATCTCTGAGCTAATTAATATCCCTAACAACCTTATATCGTCAAATCACACGGCCCTAGGTGGAGTCGCTAATGCTAATGGTTAGCTTCAACTAGCTGAGACGTTCCCTGCTGTTTCCTGGATGCTAAACCAACAGCCTCCCCCGTCGTGAGTCCAGATGGGTGAGTCCATGAATGTTAAAGAGCTAGTCACCCCCTACCAGTGTCTTACTCCACTCCCACTTCATGTTTGAAAAATGCAACATGCTGTTGCCTAGCAGACTGAGAGGGCAGAGGCGCTAACAAATTCACACACACACAGGCTCACAACGACATTGTGACATCATATGGTACCAACTAACATTCTAGAGTACCTCTTAGCCAATAGGGATGGCATTTAAATTCAAATGCAGTGCAGAATTTTTACCTGACAACGGCACAACACAAACAGTTTTAGGCAGAAAATAAAAATTTTAACTAAAAGGTGAAGGCCGTGGAACCGTATCCAGGACTCAATGTGCTCTCTTAACCCATTATCTCCCTCCCCTTTCCAAACGGAGGTGATTAGCGCTGCTCTTGCGGCTGCACGCTCTGAAGTGAGGAGAGTCTCAACCCTACACCCACCCACCTAGTGAACACTTATGTTGTGTATTGTCTGAAGTCGGTGTGCATATCTGTCTGAGGTGGGGTTTTTTTGTGGGGGTTTTTTTGCGTAGCAAAGCTACCCTCTCTGTTGGGGCTAACTCTGAAGTGCCTTTTTTCTCTCCCCCGACTCTATCCTCATATAAACTCTCTTGATCTATAACGGTAGCGCGACTGGCGTTGCGAATGGTCACAGTCACCAATTCTTGTCATGTGTCTATGTATGTCTGATCTTAGAATTGTGTGTACTGAAACAACGGCATTTCCCTCCGGGATTGATAAAGTATTATTGAATTTGAATTGAAAATGCACTAAAGTGAAAAACTGTTGACTACACATGTCTGCAGCACGATTAGACACACATTTATATAGTTTGTCAGGGGAAAAAAGTTGATTTGGGGGTGACTTGCTCTTTAAGTGACAGTGTGACGTAGATCTGTCAGGATTTTCTAATCCTAGAGTTTCACCGTCTGTTTTCTATCAGAAGCTAATGCAGGAGATAGGTGTAGGAGACTATTTTATTGTTCAGGCTGCATGAAAAACTCAGTGACCTGTTATAATCAGGAATATAAATTAAAATTGTTTTTTCAGTGTTCCACACCTTTAAGAAAAATACATTTTTAAATGAACGTAATAAGTACCTTTTTGTAAAAGATAACAATTTTTTTATGCTTTCTAATGCAGACATTGTTCCTTACTGCACAGTTCTGGTGGAGGAATGTCAGTCTTTGATGGGATCTACTCAGCAAAGCCAAGGTCACCAATGTGCCCTGGACTCCATGGGTCAGACTTTCCAGGACCACAATTACTTCAAGAGTAGAAACCCTGAGATGTCTGTAGTACTGGTCAAACAAGAGGTACGTGTAAACCTGGACAGCCAAAGTATGAATTTAGAAAACGACTGCCTCTACACGCGTCCAGTTTTAAATCAAATGTATTACTTTCACGCAGGAGCTGGACAACGTTTCTTTTGAGTTTGCCTTGAAGCAAGAGAAAGCTGACCACGATGTGGTTTCAGGTCAAATGTTGACCAATAAATCAAGTGAGTTTGGAACAAGAACATTCCTCAGTCATTTTCAGCATAAGTATTGTATTACTTTCATGTATTTTTTTGTGGCTATTTTCAGTAAGAACATCTACCGGAGCTCAGCATGAGAAGACTAGAATTAGCCAAGAATTTTCAGCAGAGCCAATTTCATCACCCAGAAAAAATGAGACTGGATTGGACTTTCAACTCCCTTGTTCAGGAACTGACGGCAGTTCTCAGGGAGTGCACAGCCAGTCACCTAGCATAAACCATTCAATTGTTATTTCACTCAAAGATGCTCTCAGGGATGATATTAAAGTAGAGTCTGAAGTTTTTCAAATAGAGACACAATTTGGTGATCCAGGAGAACTTGCAACATCTGGAAAACGATCATCGAGGCCTCAAGAAAATCCCCTGGACAGTATATTGTCTATCAATGAACAGACTAGAGCTGTTGTGCAACAACACTTTGGTATTCACACAGTAAGTGAACTATTTCCAGAGTCTACACCAGTCAACAAAGAAATGGCTCCTAATGGATCAGAACACCAAGCCAACACTAAACCTGCACCCCGCAGGACAGGGCGGAAAGTAGAGTCTGAAGTTTTTCAAATAGAGACACAATTTGGTGCTCCAGGAGAACTTGCAACATCTGGAAAACTATCGAGGCCTCAAGAAAATGCCCTGGACAGTATATTGTCTATTAATGAACAGACTATAGCTGTTGTGCAACAACACTTTGGTATTCACACAGTAAGTGAACCATTTCCAGAGTCTACACCAGTCAACAAAGAAATGGCTCCTAATGGTTCAGAACACCAAGCCAACACTAAACCTGCACCCCGCAGGACAGGGCGGCCGCCCAAAAAAAGACCAAAGAAAAGTCTTCCTCCACCAGTGGCTGGGGCTTCAGGAGTCTTGGACAACTCAGACATCTCAGTAACAAGACAGACAGATATTGTGCCGTCCCTTCCAGTAGTTAAAGGGAAGGTTTCTTTATTGAAGTCTTCAAAAGCATCTTCAAGTGAGTTTATAAGGACTTTATGTGTTGTTTCTCCAGTTGTCCAAGATGGTGCAAACATCTTATTGAAAGAACAGAAAGGAAAAAAGAATCCACTGCCTGCTTTGGTTGAACCACTGAGTTGCAGCTTTTCGTATAAAGGACAACCCACTGTTAATTCTTTGCAGAATTCAACAGAAGTAGAAGTAGACAGAGCTGATTCGCAGTCCTTTGACTATTCATTACAAAGAAAAATGCCATTCGCTCCACATGCTGAGTTACCACAAGCATCTTCGGCCATGCAAAGACAATGCTGCACCCCTGTAAGCCTTCAGGATGCATTGCTGTTTGTCGATGCCATGAATCAGTCAAGCATTGAACATACAGTCACCCCATCACAGATCACACCTCAACCTCAGGTGTACTCTGCTTCCCCTGTAAGTCCCTCAGAGACCTCAGCCGCACAACAAACGGCTCCTGTTGAAGCTCAGCCAACAGTGAAGACACTCGATACCTCCGCACATAGTACAGTTGAGAGTTTGGATCAACATTTGGTTTTAACACCAAAACAACCACAGCAGACACAGTCTCTTAACACTGCTACATTGCCAGTATCATCATCTGTACCATTAGTTTCTGCAACTGAAACTGTTGCACAGCCACGTCCTCTACCTCGGATAAATATGGCGGCAATTAGTGATATACCTCGTAAAATCATTATTGTGAAAAAACCTTTGTCAAAGGCATCCAAATCTTCAGGAATGTTACAAACCTCGCCTTCCAAAGCTGGCCCGACAAATCTGGAAATGAGTCCGCCTTCCAAAGCTGGCCCGACAAATCTGGAAATGAGTCCGCCTTCCAAAGCTGGCCCGACCAATCTGGAAATGAGTCCGCCTTCCAAAGCTGGCCCGACAAATCTGGAAATGAGTCCGCCTTCCAAAGCTGGCCCGACCAATCTGGAAATGAGTCCGCCTTCCAAAGCTGACTCGACAAATCTGGACATGAGTCCGCCTTCCAAAGCTGGCCCGACAAATCTGGAAATGAGTCCGCCTTCCAAAGCTGACTCGACAAATCTGGACATGAGTCCGCCTTCCAAAGCTGGCCCGACAAATCTGGAAATGAGTCCGCCTTCCAAAGCTGGCCCGAAAAATCTGGAAATGAGTCCGCCTTCCAAAGCTGGCCCGAAAAATCTGGAAATGAGTCCGCCTTCCAAAGCTGGCCCGACAAATCTGGAAATGAGTCCGCCTTCCAAAGCTGGCCCGACAAATCTGGAAGTGAGTCCGCCTTCCAAAGCTGGCCCCACAGATCTTCTGGAAATGAATCCATCTCTATCACCTTGTGGAAAACTTGTAATTCCGGCTCCTCAACAATCCACCAAGGTTACCGTTTGGGAACTAGACCCCATTCTCCCTTTACAGTCCACTACCACTGCAGCACGTAAAGTTTCTCCATGTCCCAACATTACTGTTAATCCAATACAGGTGCCAATAGCTGAATCCAGCAAGCCAGTTCTTGCAGAAAAGCAGAACACCACTGTACCAGCAACTTCTGTTTCCCCACCATTGTCACAGTTGAGCTCCACATTAGATGATTCAAGATTATCTACTGCAGATGACTCATTATTAGCTGAAGAAAATACTAGTAAAACTCACACTCTGGATTCTTCTAACCAAACTACCTTTCCTTGCACAACAATCGTTTCTCCTACAGAATCAAATTTGAGTTCAGAAACCGTTGAGCCGGTACAGACATTGGTGTCTGCTGACCTACCAGCTGTTGAGCAGAAACTCTGTGCAGTTGTCAGATTAGTTCGGCTCCCACCTTCAGTATCAAACCAAAAATCTGTCTCCATCTCAAGACTGCAAGAAGACCGAGCTTGGCGCCGTTTCAAGAAAATGTCTGCAATGCCCACGGACAAATCAGATCCCCAGTTACAAAAGACCAAAGCTCGGTTCGGAGAACAGCCGTCTACATCGTCAATACAGAATGAGGTAATCTACTTTTAAGGAATTGAAACAAGTCCCAATAATGATTTCTGCACTTGCATTGTTCTCACAGCTTACTGATTTTGTCTTCTTTACATCTTGTTACAGGTCAGCTCCAAAAAACTTCCAGATGCCAACAAGACAGAGACTGGTACCAAAAGCGCCAAGAGACCGCGGTTAAAGAGTCGCAGAAGGCATGTTAAAAACAAAACACAAACTGAAAGTAAAAGTAAAATTTTGAAAATGTGCAAAGCCGAAGTGTGGTACCCTCCTACACTACCGCCTAATGAAGTGCCCATCGTAGACAAAATACCTGAACCGCGCCTGAAGGTAGAGTTCAGAAATCCAGTTATACCGCCCCATCCAATCCCTACTATATCACCCTTTCAGCCATTGGCTGTAATTGGAAGGCATCTATTGAGAAATCAGTGTGGCGAATGTGGTCGTGTTTTTGAGAACAGCACTGCTTTGGAGAGTCACGTCAGTCTTCATAACATTTACCGACCATTTACATGCAAGCTCTGTGGGAAATATTTCCCAGACTCCAAGACTTTCAAACGCCACGACCGCGTGCATCGAAACGGTAGGATTCATTTGTGCCCACTGTGTGGAAAAGGATTTGTCTACCGGTACTCTGTCACAAAACACATCCAGATGGTTCACAGAAAACTGAAACCTTTTGTATGTCAGATATGCAACAAAGAATTCCACAATAAACTGGACGTGGAAGGCCACATACGCAGCCACACTGGGGAGAGGCCCTACAAGTGCGACCTATGTGATCGACGATTCATAAGGAGAATAGAACTTAATTTGCACTTAAGGTGGCACAAAGGAGAAAAGAGGCATTGGTGTTCCTACTGTGGGAAAGGATTTTTAGATGGCAACAATCTAAAAAGACATTTATTAACTCACACGGGGGAGAAACCGCACGCCTGCCCACACTGTCACAAGAGATTCAAACAGACCGGCCATGTGAAAAAGCACGTTTTAACTGTACATAGAGATTTAACTTTAGGAAATTAGGAAATTAGCTTTCAACCTGAAACATTGGTGATCTGCACAGTAGAAGATTAAAAATGCAAGGTGTGTGTTTACAAAAAAAAATCATGTATAAAATAAAGTGCATGTTTTTAAAGTTTATTGGCATCAGTTTAGATTATTGTAGAAATGTATTTTGTGCTGTTGGTTTAAAAATCTCATTTTGTGTCTCAGATGGACGTTTTGGACACACCTGGTGTCGCTTTTATGTGTAAACATTTGGCTTTCCACATTCTTGTGGACGTCAAAGCAGCTAGATCAGGGTATCCGCGGGTCCTTAAAAAGTCTTAAAACGTCTTAAATTTGCTTTTCCAAATTTAAGGCCTTAAAAATCCTTAAAAATGACAAATAATCCTTAAATACAGTTTCCAAAGGTCTTAGATTACCAAAGACCCAATAAACAAAATCGTTTAGTTTCTATTAAATTTTGTGAATTTCTAGTTGGTATTCAGCATTTTTTGTGTGTGATGTTGGCGTAAGCAGAACCGTACACATTCAGTTGGTTGTGAAAGGGGACTATTTTTAGATGAGCACATTAGCTGGTTAAGCTAGTGAGAGCTTGCGCCATGGGGACGTGCAAGTTTGATGGTAACTGGATGGTTAATCCCACTTTTGCACGGTTCCAGGCAATAGCTAGAAATTATAGCTTAAATTTAATTTAAAAAGTAGCTTAAATTTGGTCAAAGTGGCCTTAAAAAAGGTCTTAAAAAGTCTTAAAAAGTCTTAAATTTGGCTCCCTTAAACCTGCAGATACCCTGTAGATGCAACTTGTCTAACCAGGCCTTTGACTCTTGATCTTCTATTATGCCAGGAAGGGTCAAAGGTTAATTTGTTATAGTGTTTATAAGTAATGGAATACTTTTGACATAGGATTAAAGGAACTTGATTAGGAATGATTACAAAATTGATCTAGTTGTATGCAAATGTAAGTTATGATTATTTATTTGTTTATGAAATGCATCTATGTGCTAACGTTATTAGTTATTTCTTGTTGCACCATGAATGGTAGAGCTATTATCCATGTTTTATCACTAAAGTATTTGAGGCGCCTCTGATGGGAGTTGAACGACACACATTTTTTTTGGAAATGAACATCTAAATAATATAATTTTTATAGTGCTGTGTAAAGAATTTCAGTGTTTGTCCTTTTAATTTGCATTTTATTCATTAATTGTTTTACGTTTGTTCTTTGCTTTAGCGGGTTATTGTTTTACGGCTGTTTTAATTTTACTCAGTGATGTGTCTGATGCTCAAATTTAGGTTCAAAACTAAACATTCTTGAAGCGAATTTATTTATATTGTAAATTATGCTGAATCCTATTTGAGACGATGGAAAATAAATGAGACATTTCCAAAAGTACAAGAGTTTGGTTCCTGAAACTTGAATGTGGGCAAAGTGAACTGACATTGAATTTATACTAATGACTAATGCAGTTTATAAACACAAATTGTTTAGATCAGTGTCTTAACTTACTCTGGATCCTTGCAGAATAATCCTAATCCTGACAATCTAAAGGGATTCACCAGGCTGTCCAGTGAAGAAGAAATAAGTGTAAAATATTTAACCCGTGTAGAAAAATACCGTAAAATAGACTATTTACAGGGAGCGAGGTCATGACGAAAACAATAAATTAGGTGAGTGCGTTCATGTAAACAACTGGAAATGGTGAAAAGCTGCAGGTGTGCAAACATCTTGTACTGGGTTTGATGGGAGCAGAGCCTAAGTCTCTATTTAAGAGAACGGGGCAATAAAAGCCGTTTCCTTTGGGGGGCCATTAGGGTGGCCACGGCCCCCAGCTTGGACATCCCTTGGGGGCGCCACTACTTCAGGCTCATGTTAGACATGTGTTACTCAGGTTATTTGCATGGTAGCCTAGAGCTGATGTATCATAATGGTGTGTACTTAAATTGTTTTCACACAATTCCAGACCTCCCCCCATTTCAGCTTTTGTTCCATGTTTTCCTTTGCCTTCTCTCAGAAGACGTTTCAACTCCTCTGCGTCTTTAAATGCATACGGTGCAACTTTTCATATTTTCAAATAATTTTCTTGAGACAGTTTGTGCTAAAATGACCCTTTACAGGATTTTTTAAATGTCACTCAGACCCCTACCGCCCTTTATGGCCAGAATACCACTTTTGCAACAAATGGGCCATTCCCATCTGTACCGGGTCAGCCCGGGCCGGGTAGCGTAGGTTGTTTACATATCTGGGTGGCCTGGTATTCTTTCGAGCCAACCAAGGCTCATTCTCAGCCCTCTTCTCGAGGGGGTCTGCTTCAGGCCGACCAGGGCCAACACACCCACTGCTGACAGCAAATTCACACCTTCCATTAGAGCAAGCCTCTGATTGGTGGGTAGAATCAGCCCACATGGGCTTAAGGCAACGATGTGTGGAATCAACCGGGCCAGGCTGGGGCCGACTGGGGCTACCCGGCCCGGGCCGACCCGGTACAGATGGGAATGGCCCATTAGAGTGCCGGGCCACAACCTGTTGGACTTAAAAAAATTTGAGCTGACAAACCTTAGCCTGGCAAGCCAAACTAAATAAATGTATTATTTAGTCTGGCCACGCTCCATTGACGGCTCTTGGTTGTGGGGCGGGTTCTACCGTTGTCTTTCAAATGATCTCCGCATTCCACTGGACAATGAATGTGACATACTCTTGCTTCACTCTGTTGCATCATCCCACCCACCAGGCATATAGAGTGCCCTGATTGGCCCACAACGCGGCTAAAGCTCTGTGATTTGTTCACTAAGCAGATAGAGCACTATGATTGGCCCACCATTATGGACCAATCACAGCTCTTTATGTGTTTGAAACCTCTCTAGAGAGTTGTGATTGGCTAGCCAGAGTCCTGGTAGGAGCTGCTGAGGTTCCAATGGAGCGTGCCTAGACCAAACTTTGCAAAGCAAGAATTTGGTCTAGTTCACTAGGCTAGACAAACCTGGCACTGCAGTCTGCTACCAGCACGTTTCCCGCATGTTTGCATGATCACAATTGATTTGTTTCACTTAGCGATTAATCACTTTTGTAGACATTAATGAAGGCTGGGGAGACATTTCAGCTGTTAAGAACACAAACACACAGCAGGAAGATAATAACGGACACTGGGGGGGCAAAACTGACAAGTGTGCCTTTCATCTCGTCCCAACAGAAATAAACACATGAAACATAAATACATTTTTATAGATTTAAATATGGAATTTGTAGGGAACAGTTAAATTTAGAAACATCATTCACAAAATGATCATTTTCTATTGTAAATGTTATTTTGTGCTAACAAAATGTGAATGTCTATTATCAGTCAATCATGATGGAAGCAAAGACAAACATGTATACATCAAATTATGACATTTTAATTTATGTATTGTGGCAATTAAAACACTTTAATGCCTGACTCAGAAAACGATAACTTTAAATATGCTGAACTGTTTGGGTGAGTCGGAAAAGGGTGGAAGACCTTCTCCGTCCGGGTCAGGGATCAGGTTCTGCTTCAAGTGGAGGAGTTTAAGTATTTCTGGGGTTTGTTCAGGAGTGAGGGATAGATGGAGCGTGAGGTCGATAGGTGGATTGGTGCAGCGTCTGCAGTGATGCGGGCGTTGTACCGATCTGTCGCGGTGAAGAGAGCTGAGCCGAAAGGCAAAGTTCTTAATTTATCGGTTGATCTACGTTCCTACCCTTACCTAGGGTCACGAGCTTTGGGTAGTGACTGACGAGATCGCGGATACAAGCGGCTGAAATGAGTTTTCTCTGCAGGGTGGCTGGGCTCTCCCTTAGAGATGGGGTGAGAAGCTCGGTTATCCAGGAGGGGTTTGGAGTTGACCTGCTGCTCCTCCACGTCGAGAGGAGCCAGTTGACGTGGCTCGGGCTTCTGATCAGGATGCCTCCCTGGTGAGGTTTTTTGGGCACGTCCAACCGGGAGGAGACCTAAAGGTAGACCCAGGACACGTTGGAGGGACTTTGTCTCTCACCTGGCCAGGGAACACCTTGGGATTCCCCCGGAGGAGCTGGCCCAAGTGGCTGGGGAGAGGGAAGTCTGACGTAGAAAATAGAACCGGCGTGTAAAGGCCGCAACATGCTGCTCCTGAGACGCGGCCGACTCGCGCTGCTGACGGCTCCGGTGGAAAAGGTTCTGTTGACCACAGCGGTTCCTATCAGCAGCTATGACGTGCTGCTGCAGTAACGTGCTGCTGACGGCTCCCGTGGAAAGCCGGTTTGAGCCTCTCGACTTACGCCGGGGACACACCGGCCGCGGAAGCGCCGAGAAGCGAATCGCTCACGAAATTCGGCCGCTGCTTGTCGCTCCTCAGTTCAGATCAGACGCGCCCCAGTCGAGGCGCGCCTCGGCTCAGCTGTAGTTTTTCTTTTAAACACTTGGTGTCCTCCATTTCCTCTCTGCCTTTTCTCAGCTCTTTTCCTCTACGTTTGAGTGTTTGTACGCGTGCGTGTGTGTGTGTGTGTGTGCGCGTGTGTGTGTGTGTGTGTGTGTGTGTGTGTGTGTGTGTGTGTGTGTGTGTGTGTGTGAACTTGTGGTATGAGTTGTTTCTGCCAGTTGAATCTCTTGGAACCCGCTCCAATTCTGCAGCTGTATCCTAGCAGTTTCTTCCGACATGGGTACGTAAATAATCATGTTTTTCGGGGGTCGTACAGCTCCTTGTGTTTCTCATCTTCCATAATTAATTTAAAGTCATCCATCCTAACTGCTTGCCTCAGACTTTCTGCCTCTCTGTCCTGTTTGCTCCGGTGAAAAGACACCCAAAACCACTCCCCCCTTCACGTGGTCACACACGCACACAAGTTCAATGTGTGTGCGTGTTTGTGTGGTTTTTCTGCAGTGTCTGTTTATGAACACATTTGACTATTGCGGAATTTTATTTTGAAATGCTTTATTTTGTTAACTTTACCGGCCTGCCTCTTATGTCTAGGTTTGACTTTCTGCCAGAATTGACGCGATTCACCCGCGGCTCTCGAAAAAAATAGAGCCAACGCCGAAATGATCGCTGCACGGCGCGGGTTGGAGCGCCGGCGCGAGGCGATTTGCGGCGCTTCGGCAGCCCATGTGGTCTATAGAATAGCTTAACAAGGGCGCCGAATGAAGGCGGTCCTATTTTCGCGGCGCTTCCGCGGCCAGTGTGTCCCCGGCGTTATACTGCCCCCGCGATTCGACACTGGATAAGCAGAAGATGGATGGATGGATGGATGGATGGATGGATGGATGGATATTTGAGTAATGGCTGCACAGTGGTGCAGTGGTTACCACTGTTGCCTTGCAGCAAGAAAGTTGTGGGTTGAGATCCCAAGCTGGGATCTTTCTGCACGGAGTTTGCAAGTTCTGCCTGTGCATGCGCGGGTTCTCTCCAGGTACTCCGGCTTCGTCCCACAGTCCAAAAACATGACTGTTAGGTTGGTCTGTCTAAATTGTCCTTAGGTGTGTGTCAGTGGACTGGGAATCCGTCCAGAGTGTACCCCGCCTGCTTGCCCATTGACTGCTGGAGATAACCCCCCCCCCCCCCCCCCCCCCCCCCAACCCGACAAGTGGTTTCAGATAATGGATTGATGGATGTTGGGTAATGCTAATAATGGTAATATTAATTTAAGTTTCAATAAAATTGATTGTGAAAAAACTTAAATCCTACATTATAAAGTGAAAACAATCGTCACTTGACACATGCGGACTTATTTGATACAGCGGGTTTTTTAGGAAGTTCTAATCCTATTAACCCTCCCACTGTCCTAATGGGTGTGACCCCACCAGGAAAGTTGACCATTAAGCAGGATTGATGGTTTATCCCTTGGGTCCACGTGGCAGGGGTGAGGAGTGAGCACCATCTCACTCCTCACCCCTGCCACGTGGACCTCAAGGGATAAACCATCAGTCCTGCTCAATGGTCAACATTCCTCGCGGGGTCACCCATAAAGACAGTGGGAGGGCTCAAGAAATATTCGTCAGATAAATGTAGAAATCAGTGTACTAAATATGATGGTATATGTAAAATAACCAACAGTCCAGATTTATGTATGTCTTAGCGTCCGCCCAGCAAGAGTTAATGTTTAACAACAAAACAGTGAAGCTCGTCAGAAGACCAAGTGTTCTAGAAGTTGAAAACATTGAGAAAACAAAGACGAACATCAAAAACGATACAGAAAACAATTCCTACGTTTTTCCAGCTCTAAACCAAAGAAAGTGAAACTCATCACAGATAAACAATTCACAGTGAAGAACCTTTTCCCAATTTATTTTACCTTCTTAAAAACAAATGAGAGTCAGCAAATGAAACCGCTTCAAGGCCTTGCGACAAAGATGGACACCAGGAGGCAAAGCCACAGTGGCAGAGACAGCGTTACCGCAGGAGAGGCGTCTGAATCCTCTATCGAGTGATAACATTTACCCACGTTACCAACTTTATCCACAGCTACAAACTCAACAATCTGCGAGCAGCAGGAGGCGTTATAGTGTGCCTCGATGTTGGGAGCAGTCAGTGACGAATGTGAAAGGATTCCAGCGCCCTGTCGCAGGGAGATCCTCTCTATCCCGGTGCCGTTTCCATCCGTAAGGTTAGCCGACAGCTCCCACTGGAAATGTCCACACTGGGACTGATCTTCAGGACAATCGTCAGCGAAGACATTCACCACTTCACACTGTGGCTGCACAAAGTCTGTAATCTGGATGAAATAGAAGAAACAGTTGATTTATTTACAAATTGTATCTAAAAAGGTAGACTTAGTATTATTTATCATAATGTTTAACCAGCTGAAAAAGCTCTTATTTTGAAAAATTAAATAGAAATCACACAATAACCCTTCAACCCACCCAAAAACCTGTTAAAATTCCAGGACCCATAATGTGTTTTGTCCCATGGATGGGATCCATGATGACGTTGGGATGCTAAAGGGTTTTAATCCCGTCTCACCCACACCTGGTCCAGCTATTATTTTTACATTTTCAAAACCAAATCCAACCCTTCTTAGCATTTTACTTTATCGATTTTTGGAGTGTTTTTGACATGGTGGACCCTATTGAAAGCTTTGATACTTTACTACTAAAAACTCAATACATCTGAGTTATCTGATGATTTTAAAATCTGTGTTTATAACAGAATTTGATCTTTTTGTACAAAAACTTGGTTACCTTGGTGACCACAGACAATCTCAGAACGATGTAATTGGAATCAACACCACTGGATGTCTTGACATCGATCGTCAAAGTGACATCAGTGCCTGATTCTGTGTTGGCGGGTGGCGTAATGGTCAACGTAGCTTTGGTGTACTTCCCTGTCGACAAGTTGATGCTGTTACAAGGGGAGAAAGTGCATTTTCAGGTTTTCGCCTACTGGATTTGTGAAATTTAAAGCTAGAACAGCTTTGAATTTAGAGTTAAACAACACATTAGCATGGAAATGTCTTTAGACTCCCAAATGTCAGTTTGGGATTTTACTCTAGAGTGTTGTAACCCAGCCCCAAGCAACAGTTCATTGAGATTACATTTTAAAATGTGACATTTGAAAAACGCCGTCAGCTGCGTGAAGCCAATGTGATATTAGGATTTTTGTTAAATAAAATCAAATAAGGAAGAAACAACATTTATTGTTTTTTCAGTGTCAGACTTTATCTTTAGCTGAGTCCCATTCTGTCCCGCTCTGAACTTGAGACAGTTCTCCACACCTTCATCTCCTCACGCTTAGACTACTGTAACTCTCTTTTCACGTGTCTGAGCAGAACCTCCCTGAACCGTCTACAGGTGGTTCAGAACGCCTGTGCTCGGCTTCTGACCAAGTCCTCCAAACACACCCACATCACCCCGCTTCTCCTCCAGCTTCACTGGCTGCCAGTCAACTTCAGGGTTCATTTCAAGATCCTGGTTCTGGTCTATAGGGCCTTACATGGACAAGCACCATCTTACATTGGTGATCTTCTTAGTCCCTACACCCCCAGCAGGTCCCTGAGGTCCAGTGATCAAAGCCTACTAGTTGTGCAGCACCAGGCTAAAGGTCAAAGGTGACAGATCATTTGCTGGTGTGGCCCCCAGACTCTGGACCTCTCTCCCCCTGAGCCTGAGATCAGTGGACTCGGTGGTCTCCTTTAAAAAGCAGCTGAAGACTCACTTGTTCAAGCTGGCTTTTGTATGACCTTCTTCACCTCTCTCTCTTTATTCTGCTCTCCCCACCTATTCCACCTTCCTCAGGATCCACTGGTTTCCCTCTTTCCTATTCACTCTCTCTCTTTCTTTACATTTTTTTAATCACAATTGTCTGTTTTTTGCTAATTTTGAATATATTTTTGACCATTTTCTAAATTATTTTTTATATTTTTACATTTTTTGTTTTTGTGAAGCGCCTCGTGATTTTTATCTTGAGAGGCGCTATAGAAATGATGTTTTCTTCTTCTTTTTCTGCTTTACTAAAAGAAACCATCCTAAAAATTAAACCAACTGTCTGCTTCTACATGAAAATGCCACCATGAATCCATCAAGTCAATATTTATCCATGGCATTTCACAAGAGAACCTTGTGTAGCTAGCTTCTTACCGCTCTGGGAAGGTCATTTTATAATTTCTGTCATTCCGGGCACTCAGCAGGTGTGAACCACCGCCTCCCCGGGTCATCACACTGAAGGGGACGTTAAAGGGTTTTCCAGGCTCGACACTGCTGTCCACAATAGCCTGGCAAAGAACATCAAATTTCTCATCATTTGTAAATTTTTGAATTTCCTGCCATCCGTTTTCCTTTTTCTGTTTAAAGCTGCAATAGCAAAACCACAGAACAAGCTAGGTTTTGACAGCAAACACAGTCATGGAACACAACGGTGTGTACCCTAAGACGCTTCTGCCTGAACCAGAAACCTGCTATACCAAAGGAAGTGAGAGAAAATACCAGTCGCCACTTCACACATCTAAACATCTTTTGTTGTCTGTGAATTCAAATGGTGATTTTCTTTTTGGGACTCTGGTACCGTATTTTCCGCACCATAAGGCTCACCTGATTGTAGGGCGCTCAGCCAATCAACCCCGATGTCCAGCGGCTGGAGTTCTTCGGTTAATCCACCCAGTATGATGGCAAGCTCCGTGTTAATCCTCTTCACCTGGATTTTAACAGCGTCGGTGAGATGGGCCCGCATGGAGTCGCAGATCTGCATGGCTGGAGAACTGTGGAAGAAGCCGTCCCGTCTTTTGGCGTACACATCCCGCAGCCGCGCCGCCATCATGTCCTCATCCATCAAGCCCTTCGGGTTCGCCTTGATGATCACGCCGGCGGGAAACTTTTCTTTGGGTAAAGTTTTCCGCTTGAAGATGACCATGGGCGGCAGCTTCTGGCCATCAGCCTGGCAGGAGAGCACGACGGTGAAGCAGGACTTCTCGTGGCCGGTCGTCCGCTCAGACACCGTGCTGGTCCCCATTTTCTCCCCGGTCCGGTTCACCGGGATGTCGAAGGTAAGCGGGACCTCATCCATGTTGGTGATGTGCTGGGGCTGGATGTTTTTGTCTGCCATCTTCTTAGTGCAATAGGAGCGGAACAACTCTAGCTTCTCAGCGTAGTCGGCGGGTAGCTGCTGCGAGACGGTAGTTCTGGTGCGGATAGAAAGCGCTCGCCTCCGCATGAAGCGAAAACACCAGGAACGGCCTCCTATGAAGTCCGCAATGTCCATCTCTCGTGCTAATTCTGCAGCTTTGAGACAAATGGAGACGGTGGAGACGCTTCTGCTCGCCACTCGCGAAGGGTGGGCAGTGCTACGGGCCAGCTCTTTGTTTTCCTGCGGACGCAGGTGTGGCTGGCTTCACTTACGTCCTTAATACATGTATAAAAGGCACATCCGTATTAAAAGGCGCACTGCCGGTTATGGGGAAGATCAAAGGTTTTTTTATAGCGCCTTATTGTGCGGAAAATACGGTAGTTTATCCTAAAGCTGAAGTGGTAGCAGCCGGCTGTTTCTCCTTCTCTGATGTTATTGAGCGGAGAACCTCTCACACCAGTGGTGTTCTGGTGGTGAGCGTGTGATTGGTGGAGGGCCCAGGGAAGTGTGGCGGTTCAGCGAGACCGACAACTGGATGGTCCAATGGTTGGTTTTTGGTCAGAGCCACGTCATTGAAAAAGGCTTTTGGACAAATGCAAAAGAACCACTTAAGTCATTTTTGCCATTTTTTCAACCTTCACAATATATTTATAGCTAAACTATGTTAGGACATTTTAAGAGGCATGAAAAAAATGTAGGCTAATATATTTTCCATATTTGCTTTTGCAGCTTTAAGCAAATTCTCTGTGAGAATCCAAAGAGGGAATTAGAAGACAGACCTGGATGTTCAGCTTAGAGATGGACATCTTTGTGGTTGATTGCCTCTGAAATTCATTTTTAGACATTTGGTTTGTTCCCGTCAGAGCGACAACGAACTCTCCCTCAGGGACTTTATCCACAGTGACCAGGATGTCTCCATTACCCATGTCAGTCATTGTGCTGTTGGAAACACCATCACGGCTAGATGGTATCAGCAGGCCAACATCTGTAACCGTCACTGATGATGGACCTTTTCTGCCAAGTACCGAAAGCATCAGGGTGGCAGGCTGGCCTGGTTTATGAAAAAATAAGAAAGTGCCATGCATTTATGTTCTTTTTTCACAATCACATTACCCTACTTTTAACAGTCATATAATGTACCCCTAGATTCCTTATCAGCAGAGAAGATGATGTTATTGCAGTAGTAAAGGTTTATCTGGTACAATTAGCCAGTGATATAGTTGTCAAACTATAGAACCACAGGAAGTCATCGTACCTGCTTGTGGACGGCCACTAAGAACCGCATAGCCCGGATGAGGTCCAGTGAAGTTTTCCACAAAGTCATAAATGAAGGTAATTGTGCTCTGACCTGCAAACAAATGAAAGTTGAGTTAATAACTACTGTCATCTCCCACCTCGATTACTGCAATGCTCTTCTAACTGGTCTTCCAGGCTGTACTGTGAGACCTCTTCAAATGGTCCAGAACGCAGCGGCACGTCTGGTCTTCAATCAGCCAAAAAGAGCACACGTCACCCCTCTGTTCATTGAGCTCCACTGGCTACCGCTAGCAGCACGCATCAAATTCAAATTGCTAACACTAGCATACAAAGTCCGAGACGGTACGGCTCCCATCTACCTGAATCCTCTTGCAAAGGCTTACGTCTCGGCCCGGCCGCTCCGGTCATCACAGGATGGTCGGCTAGCAGTGCCTACACCACGCTCAGGACAATCCAGACTTTTCTCATGCATCGTTCCACAAATGTGGAATGGCCTTCCTAACACTACCAGAACTGCGGCTTCCTTTTCTATTTTCAAGAAACTCCTGAAGACCCTGCTCTTCAGAGAGCATCTTCTTAACTAGCACCTTGTCTGCACCCGTCCCCCCTCTCTACTGTCCACTCCTTGTTCCCTCCTCTCCATGACTGATGTCAATTTGTTGTTGTTATTGTTGTTGTTAGCCTCAAGGGCAAAATGCCGATTATCACTTGTAAGTCGCTTTGGACAAAAGTGTCTGCTAAATACATAAACATATAAACATAAACATAATAACTCAACAAAAACTTACGTAACAATGGCTCTCAAACACTGTAGCCTGCACGACCACCGCCTATCCACCTCAGCTAGTCAGAGGCTTGGTGACACTTTAAATGTTTATTCAAAGTTAATTAAAAAAACTAGTTTATAGCAATAAAAGAGCCTTTTATTTGTTCCTGACAACCAACCATGCTCTTTTGATTGGAAAGGTTTAGAATTAGTCATTTTTAATGATTGAATTTAACACATTTTTCCTTTTTTTCATATTTTAAAGAATGAAAGCTTATTGTGGCAAGGTGGAGAAACGAGGGCCCGGGCGAGAATCGATCCCCAGACTCCCAGGTGAGAGTCGCGCGATAACCAGTCAGCCAAAGGGACATCCTTGTGGTCAAGTAGCCAGGGCGCATGATCAATCGGGATACAGTGAAAGGACGCTCACCCTGTCACATTATGAACAAGTTGACTTTATCTTTGGTTTTAAAGTCAAAGTTAAAGTCCCATTAGTTGTCACACACACAGGTGTGTGTGCGAAATTTGTTCTCCGCATTTGACCCATCCCCTGGGGGAGCGGTGAGCTGCAGACACAGCCACGCTCGGGAACCATTTGGTGGTTTAACCCCCCAATCCAACCCCTTAATGCTGAGTGTCAAGCAGGGAGGCATTGGGTCCCATTTTTTCAAAGTCTTTGGTATGACCCGACCAGGAATCGAACCCCTGATTTTCTGGTAAGAATAAGGGAAACAGTTGTCCTCAGGAGTCGTTTTCCCAAACGCTTTGAGCATTTGTGAACTTTGCTTTCAACCCGAGTCAGTGCCAGGAAAATCTGTTTGCATGAGGAGGTCTAGAAGAATGGTCACATGTCAGCAAAATTCTGAAAGAAATGTGTTGATGGCTACAAAAACAGAACCCTTAGTTCAAGGTGGAACATGCGGGTAGACTTTTTACACGATATGTTGGGGTGAATGTTTGTAGGGGTGTAGATATCTCAGCCTGTGTGTTGAAAAGAAAACCGATCCAGAATAAACTCAAAATTGTGCGACAAATTCTTGTTTTTAAGAACCGTTGAAGTTGCATGTTGTATAATCGTTCACCCTCTAAAAACAATGTTCAAATCAGTCACAGCATTCACATCTTGAGTGTAGAAACGGCGTCTGACCTGTGACTATAACTGTATATGGCTGCGATGTTCTGGTGTACAACTGCCAGGTTCCTGGCTGATGGTTCGACCTTAGACGAAACCTCCTGAGGTTGCCCACGGTCTGAATGGTACCCAGTCGTCCTCTAGGCTCATCGAATTTCTGCTGCAAACCTGTAATAGTTTAACACACAACCTCAGAAATGAAAATTCTGTAGCATGAAAGACGGACATCCCTTCTTCATGGGTGTCTGGATCTGTACGGTACCATTAGGGTTGGTCAGCGTGAACGCTATGGAGGCTCCTGTGATGTAGATCGTGATGTTTTTCAGCGATTCATCCAATATGAAGGAGAAAGTCTCTTCACTTCCAGTGCTTCGTACTTGTTGAAATACTGTTACCTGATAGAAAGACATAATTAGAGAGGACATTAAACCCTGGTCCATCTACAGTAACGGCATCTTACCAGGGCAGATGTTGATGTGTCAAGGATAACATCTGTGGCCTGAGGCAGCTCCGCCTTGGACACTTGGATGGCCTGGCCTCCAGATGCTACAGCTAGATCCTTGTAGTCTCCAAAGGAAGCAGCTCTGACAGAACGACGACGCCTTCTCTTGGCTGCAGTCATAAAGAATGACACCTAAGAAGAGATTAGACCAACTTCAGCAGAAGCACTTTCTCAGGCTGGGTGAACTTTATTTAGTGGAAGTCTGTATTTACTGTGGATTTGGTGCTCCTGATGAGGGCAATGATGGTGTCTTTGAGGGCGATGTCCTTGGCTATAGCATCAGTGAAAACATAGATGTGGGATGAAGAAGGGGCTCCAGTGAGAGCGAGCTAGAGAAACGAAGGTTCAAAGTCGGCATCTGTGAATCCACCTTTTTTATAATTATTATTATTAATTATCAAAGGTCAGTCTACTGTGGTACCTGAAGTCCAGAAAGGCACATCTCTGGTTCATCTCCACCGCCGTTTGCTCTGAGCTTAGAGATTTCTGTTTTCATCCTTTCAGGGTCAGTTGTCCTGATCATTGGTCCAAAATCTACAAAGAGGAGAAGAACGAGTAAACCATGAAGCATCTACAGCAACAAAGTGTTGCCAGGGTAGCAGTATTTGTCATACGTGGGTCGTTGAAGGGCACAAGGATATACTCAGACGGTTCGTCTTGTGTTCCTTTTTTGCTGTTAATGATCTCGTAAACCACTGATCTAGCTTCTTCAATGTCATCCCTCATGCTGCCGGTGGTGTCGATCACAAAGGCCACAACAGATGAGCGCGCAATCCCCATCATCCTGTAAGAAAGGACAAAACACTTACTCTCAGACACGGAAAAGGACAAATACTGTATATGACATACACATCTGTATGCTTTGCTGTTGTACCTGAGAAAGTCCTGGTCCCCTGTTGCTAAGCGGATGTCTTCCAGCAGCTGTAGGCTAGCTTCTGTGGCCAAGCTGACAGCAGCATCGTGGAAAGCCGCATTGTGCGGATTGCGCTCGTCTTTGTGGATTCCTCCACGAGGAACGGTTGTGCTGGTGAGATCTGCGGCACCTCCATGGCTGCACTTACCTGGGGACAGGACAGGAGGGTGAGGACAAGTGGGAGCAGCCATCTTAAGTTGGCCAAAAACTTTTTTTTTAAATTAATGGTTTGAATGACTCACAGAAGTCAATCATGTACATTTTTTCTGTAAAGAACAAATTGATGATTTTATGATCTTTGAACAAGCCCCAATCCTTTAAATGAATGAATTATTATTGCAAACAGTTTTAGTCCATTGAGTTAAGCCTGTTAAGCGCCTGCGGATTGAAGTCAGTTGTGTTGAAACAGGGAAAACACTAAAACATGCGGGATGACGGCCCTCAAGGACCGGAGTTTGACCTCTGTGGTATGAGGCGTGGCTTTCTGCGCCTTACTAAAGCTACATGTTCACATCAGAAACGTCTGGCTGAGGCTCCTGTCATGAGATCTTAAACTTCCATTCCAGTAAGTTGAAGATAATCAGCCAAACTGGCCATGTGCTGGACCTCCATTACTGATGCTACGGTGCCAGTGAAATAGATGTTCCTGTAGTGAGATTAGGTGAATTCGATCTCTGAGACGAATTAAAGATGTGAGACATCTCACCTTCAGGCTTTGATGAGGAGAAGATTCCCATGTAGCCTGATGTGAGTTTCTTCTTCTGCATGATGCTCTGGAGGATTTGGTTTGAGCACGTTCCACTGGCACAGTTACTGCAGGTGGCAGTGTTCACATCTGCAGACAAAAATAAAAATCTTCGTGGATTTGGGTGCATTTCACAAACCAGAAATCCAGAACCAGAATTTTTCTCTTCAGGTTGTTTATCTGAACTTGTGCCTTGATGACACTCCCAGCAAATGAGTCACAGCAGACGTCGGCTCTTTCACAACCAGATACGATGTGAGAGAAAATGACACATGCTGCATGAGGTTTTACCCAACCGATAGGAGGCAGCATTTACTCTCGTTTACCTGCGAGGTTTTCAATAGGAAGGTCAGGCCGTATGAGGTTGATATATGGCTCTGAGTATCCCAACTCCACCCAGTTACTGTGGCTGTAGAAGTCCTGCAAATACACGTACACGTTATGCTCTGTGTTTCTGTGCTTTAATGTATTTATTGGCCTCCTTTAGAGACGGCTTCAAGCTGTTTTGAAAATAGAAATCTTGTTTTGCTGCTTTTGATGTCAAAAACTGTTTTGTGGTTGTTTTTTTTTTTTTACTTTTGCATCCTAATGAAGAACTTAAGGAGCAAGTCACCCCCAAATCAACTGTTTTTTGCTGAGAAACTGAGCGTCTAATCGTGCTGGAGACACGTACCGTATTTTCTGGACTATGAGTCGCACTTTTTTTCATAGTCTGGCTGGTTCTGCAACTTATATACCAAATTATGTAAACCGCGATGCTGTGGGCTGGCTCCGGACCAGGAATGAGCTCCCCTGCCCCGCCATCACGTGCTGGAGACTGTTGCGCACTGCTGCGGGCCGGCTCCGGTCCAGGTTTCAGCTCTTCCTACCCGCTGGGAGTGTTTGAAACACCGCCATCCTCTGCTGGAGACCGTGGCGCGCTGCTGCACCCTGATTGTTTATTCTGTTATTGTTACCGGTACTTGTCTTGCAATTTTAAACGCTTGGTCTCCGATTTTGTAGGAAAAATAATAAAACTTCCCCCCAAAATGCTACTTATAGTCCAGTGCGACTTATATATGTTTTTTTCTTCTTCGTTATACATTTTATGGCTGGTGCGATTTATACTCCCGAGCGACTTATACTCCGGAAAATACGGTAGTCAATAAATTGGCACAAGTGCATCTCAGTTAAACTTTAACTTCTTTTTAAAATGAGATGCACTGTTGTCATGTTTCTGGCTCTATCTCTCACCTGGAGTGTGTGAAGGACCCTCCCCAGTGTTTCCCTGGCAGCTTTAAAGTTCTCCTCTCGGATGTTAGCCTTTATGGCCACCATGCCCTCCATGATCAGGCCACGCCCCTCAAGGAAAGCTTCAGAGTTGAAGTGATGTGGAGCACTGAGAAAATGTTTTCCACGCGTAAGCATTCATCAGATCAAGCGAAATGCTTTTTTTAGATCACGTTTAAATGAATCTTCTGTTTCACCTGTTGACAAAGTCCCGATCCACCAGCCCGTTCTGCGTGTAGATCTCGTGAAGGGCTGATTGAAACTTGGCACCAGACACGTCTCCTGTTGCTGTGGGGCCCAGGCAAGCCTGGACAAGCTCCTCTGGAGAGGGGCCCTGAATTTCAAAATATGAGTTCAAAATGTATTACAGAACAAGTTCACTTGTTTTTTCAACGCATTTGCGATGGTCTCTAGGAGGGCTATTCAATTCCGAGCCTGGAGGGCTGATGTCCAGCATGTTTTGGTTTTGTCCCTGCTTCCACACACCTGATTTCAATTAGGTGATTAACAGGCTTCTGCACAGCTTGATGAGCTGCTGCACAGGGGATTCAACCACTGAAACAAGTGTGTTGGAGCAGAGAAACCATTAAAACGTGCTCAACCCCGGCCGTAGAGGCTCGGAATTGAATAGTCCTGCTCTCCAGTATGAATAAATGCCTGGGGAGTCAGACTCCGTGGGGGAAAAGCTCTGGTGTTCCTGATTCAGGAACTGGAAGTAAACCAGAGAGGAGGGGGACAGAAGACGGCAGGATTCGAAATCTATTTTCTTGATATTTGGACATCTCTCCTCTGATTGGCTAACAGCAACATGACTCTACCACTGAATCTGTTTGCTCTGCAGCGTCAATGTTTTAATTCCACAAACAACACAAGCCTGGAGGAGTTGTGCCGTGTTGTGGAGTTGCTGATGCTAATGGTTAGCTCCTGCTAGCTAGCTGTGACGTGATCTGCTCTCTCCTGGATGCTAAATCAACAACAACCTTCCCCGTTGCAAGCCAAGAAGAGTGACTCAATGAATGCTAAGTTTCCATGTGATGTAGATCTGACTGTCTTTTTTTAACCAGAGTGTTTCCCCGTCTATTTTCTATCAGCAGGAAATAGGGGTAGAAGACCATCTTCACATTTAGCCTGCATGTTAATCTCAGAGTGACTGATCATAAAAACATTTTCTCGGTGAACTTGGTCTTTGAAGAGTTCAAATGTGTGAACAGAGAAGCAGGGGCGTGTCCAGGGAGTGGCCTGGGGTAGCACATGCCACCCTTGGAATCTGATTGGCCACCCCAGGTGCCAACACACTAATTTACCTTTAAATAGGATTTTTTATTGTCCACAAAAGGCTTGGGGGCAAAACAAAAAAAGCATGACCATTGGTGCCACCCATGCACAAAGCTGTGCCTCACCTGGGCCACCCCATTTTAAAAGATCTGGACACGCCCCTGCAGAGAAGTGAATTATTATACATTTACAGACCTGCCTCTGATATGATTCTGTTGCCGTTTTACCCATTATAGATACAGCTAACCATTAAAATATAATACGATATCAGCTCAATTAACCCCGAACCTTCAGAGTCAGGATTTACAAATGAGATCTTCAAAAACCATTTAAAACAAACACTAGGCTCCGATTACGACTAATTATAACTGCTAAAGAATACATAAACCAGGAGAAGAAAATACAAGTGAAAATGGGATTAAGATTATTCTCTTCTTTTTCACTTTCATACCATTATTCCAGTCTTAAATCAACCAAAAGATGGATGAATTTCACACGTTCTCACCGTATTTGCTCCTGGATTAATGCTAATATGTGCTGCTTTGTGTGTGCATGCATCTGTCCCCGGTCACATGCACACAATAAACACACAGAGGTTGATTTGATGGAGCTAGAAGAGTTTAAGTCCTCATAATCAACTGTAAAATATTCTTTAACTAAAATAAACCACAGATGTGCTCTTTTCTTACTGTGGGACTGAACTCATGACCGGCCGCCTCGGCCACCGCCCGACACGTCTCCGTAACCTTCTGCAGAAGAGCGCTTCCTGTAATGCTGACATGGGTGGATGTTCCTCCCCCGATGGGAACAAAGGCCACGCCGGGGCCCGGCAGAACCAGAGCCAGCAGCGATATGCCCAGGATGGAGGCCATGTTGACTCTGCACATGTTATATTTTAGCAAACGGAGGATGAACGAGTTAGTTTATCAGGCAACATTGTGTTTTATAAATTAACTAAGTGAAAGAAAAAGGAGCACTGAGGATGAATGACAGGATTTTTTCATTTAATCTGGTGTTGATTAAACAGAATTAAAGTTTGTATTCATGCCCCATGAAATGTTTTCAGTTAATCCAGACGAACAACAAAATAAAACATGTTCAAATGTAATAATCCGACTGGATTTGTTTGTTTTATTTTGGAGAATCAGACGAACAACTGTGAACCTCATTGTTTTATTGGCTTTTTCTGTCTTTCCAGCAGATTTTAATCTTCCTTAAAAACATTATTTACACGATAAAGCACGAAGTTCAAATTTAAATCAAATGGCACGATAAAATTTTTACACCACTTTGTGAGAATAAAATATGTAAAAGTAGTTATTTCTTGTTTTCATCAGCGTAGTCGTTTTCTATCGTTTAATTAAAAGACAAGCGACAAAAATCAGTCACTGCAACAAAACATCCTCACCTGGGTGTTGCCCGGCTCCTGAACCAGCAGAACATTGTGTCACAACGTAGCTGCTTATGTAGAACCTGATGTATCAGGGTGTCGCTCACTCAGGCCATAAACTGAACAGTTCCTCTAACAACATACTCAGAAACAAGGACCTCCTGACCTGCCATGAAAACTGACGTTTTAGATAACAAGAAGATATCTTGATGCCTCTCCCCCCTGCTGATTGGTCCAAAGTACACGGGGGAGAAAACAGTTGATAAAGTAAAATTAACAAACGTTTGCTTCATAAAGGACATTCTACCAAATATCAGAAGATTTTTTATCATTTACGCAAAAATTCTTCATATTTCCTTTTTACATTTTCACAGTTCATCATAGAAGGAAAGCTAGACTTAAGGTGTGGAGCACTGAAAATACTTTTTTTTTATTATTATATCTGATTCTTATCAAACATATTAAAAGACGGTGAAACGAGTCAGATCTACAACAAGCAGTCACTTGGACTCAGCCATGTTGGCTCATTTTAGTGTCCAGGAAAAAGCATGGAACGTCTCGGTTATCAGAAGCTAACTGTTAGCATTACCAACTCAGCCACACAGCAGAACTCCTCCAGGCTGCTGTTTGCAGCGCAAACAGAGTCAGTGGTCGAGTCGTGTTGCTGGAGGGGAGCCCTGACCTTCAAGACCAGCTCATTCCCCACAGGCGGAGATCAGCGGACATTAGCTACATGCTAACGAGGTAAAACAATTCCTACGTCAACGCTCTACCGCGTTTTTCTCGCTAAAAACACCTGGAAAAACTCTGTTAGCTTCGGGTTGCCATGTAGCTAATGTTCTGCAGATCACCAACTGTGGAGGAGTGTCGGCCCAAGCTGGTCAAGCAGCCCACTTGGCTAAGCGGCCCACCGGAACAGTGTCAGAATGCCAGATAGGCCAGTCCACCCCTGTCTACACATACCTCAAGGGTAAAAGACCGTGCTGGATCTGCTGGCATTACATAAGACTGCGGGTTTACATGATTTAGAAACTGTTCCCATTAGTCGTCACAATGGTGTTTAAAACTAGTTCTCTGCATTTGACCCATCCCCTGGGGGAGCAGTGAGCTGCAGACACGGTTGTGCTCGGGAACTATTTGATGGTTTAACCCACCCAGTCCAGCCCCTTAATGCAGAATGTCAATCAGGGAGCTCTTGGGTCCCATTTGTAAAGTCGCTGTTATGACCCGACCATGGATATGAACCCACGACCTCCCGGTCTCAGGGCGGACACTCATACCACTGACCCCCAAATTCCACTACCTCTGCTCCGCTCCGGCACGAACTCCGGAGCAAAATCGGTCCCGTTGTAGTCAATCATAGCAATTCCATTACTGCGGCTGTGCTCTCTCTGTTCCGGCGTCCGGCAAAAATAGAATCAATCCTATTTTTGCCGGACGCCAGAGCACCTCCGCGGTCAATGGACAGGAATCACAACCGCCCAACAGGAAAAGGAGCGAGCACAACTTCCGTTTTTCACAATAAATCGATAAACAAAATGCGTTTTTTGTTTCATATGCACAGGTTTAACAACTTTTAACAACGATCAATGGCGGCTGAACTTTAAATGCACAAAAGTAAGCCATAAATACAGTTTCTACTATCAAAGTAGTCACACTTTGTTGACCCAAACACTGCTGATCTCTCAACACAAATGATGGGCAGATTAAAAAGTTCATTTCGATGCTTCTCCCACACAACGGGTGTTTGGATCTAACTTCCGCGTTTATTGCTCGGACTGTATCGCAAGATCTCGAAAATCCCGTGCATGCTTGTTTGCCCACCTCAGGTCTCCGCACCGGAGCGGAGCCGTTGTAGAGCGGGTAGCAGTAAAAATTGAGTTCGGAAGCGAGCGGCTGCGGAAGGCGGGGGCGGACCGGAGCGGAGCGGAGGTAGTGGAATTTGGGGGTAAGTCACTGGGCTGGTTAGAGGCCCCCAGAACAACTCTGAATGATATTCCATCTTTTAAAGGAACTCTTTCATTTTTCTAACACAAACCAGCAGTTTCTCTGACTGTTGTCGCTTCTGTGTTTGGAGTCTAGCATGTTCTACACGTCTCGGGCGGTTGACACTGCCAGCCAACTCGATTTTAATCACTGAAGGAAGACGAATGAAGACTTTAACTGTTTTCTTTAAGCTGTTTTTCAAGATAAGATGATGTCACAACACCGGCGTGACGACCGGCCTTGCGCATGTTTTCCATAACGCTGAGCCACATCTCACAGACGTCCAACCACAATCTGAGCCGTTTCCTGTGCGGCTGAACATTCTCTGCATCTATGATAAAGATAACGTTTCATCTTTGTGCATCGGTCACATTTCCTTCTAAGGTTTTTAGCCTTAGAGGTGGAGCTAAGTCACACACACACACACACACACACACGCACAGCTGTCTGAATGTCTGGAATTGAACGGGTGTCTCTTTCACAGCGCAGAGAAACAGAAAGACCAAACAAGATTATTTGGACGTTTTTTCCTTTCGTCTCTGAGCAAAAACGGTCACGTGAGGTAATAGTGATTCATTTTACTCTGTCACGATGGTTTCTTGTTACAAATCTGGTGCTGGTAGGGAATTTAGTGCAACGGTAAGGATAAGTATGCTTGGTTATTTGTTGCAACAGTTCTTGGAAACAAATCTGTTGTTTGAAAGCCAGAGGAGTGAAGGCAGGACTTAGGGTTTCTCTTAGGGAGCAACACAGCTAAATGTGGGTCGCTGCCCATAAGAGGGTGATGGTGGCTTAAGGGTGTTAGGAGTTTACCCTGTAACCAGTGGGTTGCTGGTTCAAGCCCAGTCATTGTGCCCTTGGGCCAGACACCTCCGCCTTACCTGCTTCTGGCAGAGTCGCTGCCTGACAAGTTAGATCGTGTTGTAGGACGGCTCAGCCTTTCCAGCAATACAAGATTCATGGCCAAGAAATGTTGTTACCACAAGGAAGTGATTAACGTTATTAGCACCTAGGCCTTCTCATAGAGATAAATGCAACAGAACCGCTGCCCGGGAATCTAAATTTCTGAGAAAACTCGCAACGTGAAGCGGCATGACTGAGTGATAATAATCGCTCGTCTTCGATATGAACTGTCAAAGTCTGGTTTGATGAGAAATCAAACAGCCATCTTTCTTTTTCTTTCCAGGAAATCAAAGCATTTTGTCCTTTCGGTGTTCCAACAGCAAAGATGGCTGACATGATTCTCTTCTTAAAGTGTACTCAGAGGGACATTTTCTGTCCTGAAACTCACATCATGTTTGCTTTTCAGTTTTAAAAACTAACAAACACATTTGTTTTCAGACCGGCCCCTGCATCCTGTAGACCCCCCACCAGGGGGCACTAGTCCTGTATGAGACTGGACATGGCAGGTGTCTGGTGAAGGCGCTAATCCTGATACTCCATCTGGATGCTTTAAGCTCTCATTCACTCATTAATTCAATAAATCGCTACGTTCTCTTCTATAAATGAATTCTTTGTGAGTTTTCTTTGGACAAAAAGCTCTGGCCCTCCTGTTTTCCTGAAGTTTTCCTCTCCACTGTCGCTAAATGCTTGCTTAGTATGAGGATTGCTGTAAAGACACTGACACTAGTCAGTGACTCGATGCAACCTGCTGGGTTCCTTATATAGGAAACTTTTTTCTGATTGGCTTAATGAACTGACCTGTATTGGAATGTTTATTATGTGAAGGTCCTTGAGACGACTCAAGAGACGTGATTTGGTGCTTTATAAATAAACTTGACTTGAATTGCATTGAATTGAAGGGTACAAGTGGGGGGGGGGGTGTTAGATCATCACTGGCATACAGACTGGCAACCGCAACAACGAGGAAGCTACCAAATCCAGGAACTAAATCTTTTGACACACTTCAGACTGCTCAGAAAGACCCCCTTATCCTTGCAAAGCTGCATTTCTACATGGCTGTCACCAGGACTTTCGCTCCTTTCTTGACAAGATATCAAACTGATGAACCAGTGATGCCATTCTTGGCCACAGACTTGGCAGAGTTGATGAAGGTAATGACATCCTAACACCAGACAGTTTGATGTTGCAAATTTATGTTGATTTGTATAATTCTGTATGCTTGTCAATATATTTATGCATACACTGTCCTCTTTTTACTGTTTTACATTTGAAAATGATTAATAGTCACATATGATTTTAAAATATATATATATATATATATTTGTGTTGTGTTTAGATTTGTCAAAAAAAATTTGACCCATTTTGTTTTTTTCCTCAGTGTGCTAAGGCGTTTTGTCAAGAGAGAAATCCTGAAGGATATCAGTCGACTGCAGTTGGTCAAACTGGACGTTGGTGACAAGAATAACTGGGTCCCCCTGCAAGATGTCACCCTAGGTTTGGGTGCAGAGTCAGTTCTTAAGGTAATGTTCCACCTTTAACCCTCCCACTGTCTTTATGGGTGACCTCGTGAGGAAAGTGGACCATTGAGCAGGATTGATGGTTTATCCCTTGAGGTCCACGTGGCAGGGGTGAGGTGGTGCTCACTCCTCACCCCTGCCACGTGGACCCAAGGGATAAACCATCAATCCTGCTCAATGGTCAACTTTCCTTACGGGGTCACATCCATTAGGACAGTGGGAGGGTTAATGCAATAGTGATGGATATTGTTGGCTGTTATAATGGGTAACCTGGTCTTATTACATTCCATTCTGTCAGGAACTTCAGCAACAAGAAAAGATAGGGGAGCGTACAGTCCTGGAGTTCAGGAAAGACTGCATCAAGATGCTGTCCACCATCATTCAGAAAGTGCAAGACAAGAGTCCATTAAAGTACCCCCCGTTAGGCAGGTTGCCTGTTTGGATCCCAGGAGGATGTATTCTGACCCAGACTGGTGCCAGAAACACGTGACTAACCTGGTGCAGAGGTTTCTGCAAAACCAGCAGTTATCAGGAGGTGTCTCTGCTGGTAGGAGAGTTCAGTTTGTTTATGTAAAAATATATGAAGAAAATTAATTTTGCAGATACATGTTAAATATATCAGACATGAGGTGCAATCAGTCTCAAAAATTCTTGCTTGCAGCTTTAACCCTTTGATGCATAATGGTCACTACAGTGGACAGGTACTCAAAATTGTTATTTATTTATTTTTGCTATTAAGCACAGCTGTTGAAGACTTTATTGCATTTGAGCCCCTCCATTTAGACTTCGGTAAGCCAAGCCATCATATTTCATGTTCAGATTGCACACTGTCCACTGAGGTGGACATGTAAGAAATTAGTTGTAAATTATACAATTTTCCAAAAAATATTTGTTGAAATTTGTTTCATTCACACCTAAAGATGAATCAAAAAAATTGTTTAAAAAAAATCATGGTTGAAGATTTCATAATTCATGCATCAAAGGGTTAATGTATACAATCAAAATACATTAAGTCATATTTTTTTTATCACTGGGTTTCTTTTTTTTTTACAGGTGATGTAATTGTCCAGCAGTTTACTGAGGTCTTATCAGCTGGAGCGAGAAGTGAGACCTTTCTCTCCTACAGACCCACAGAGTGTAGACTAGATGTATTTCTCAATGGCGTCCTGAGCCAATGCTATCAGGCGCTATTGGAGTTTAGCAAGAAACTACTACTTCTGTCCCATGGATGAACAACAGTGGAGAGAGGATTCTCTGTAAACAAAGAGGTGGAGACCTACAATATGCAGGAAGACACAATGATTGCTCAGCGACTGGTCTGTGATTGTGTCACTGTCTCTGGGGGGGTCTTCAACGTCCCGATGTCAAAGGAGCTACTTGCGTCGGCTGCATCAGCAAGGTCCAGACACAGAGTGCATCTAGATGAGCAAAAGAGGAAGAAAATCACTGATTGCGAGGCACAGAAGTGAACATCTGCAGAAGAAGCCATGGAGGAGCTTAGGAAAAAGAAGCAAATTCTGCTGCGGGTGTCCAACAGCCTACATAGAGATGCTGATAAACTTGCAGAAGATGCTGAAGGGAAGAGACCTTGATGGCCCAGCTCATCACAAAGTCAAACACACTGAGGAAGAGCTACAGAGAAAAAATGCATGAACTAGAACGGGTGGAAACTGAACTGAAGACCAAGACTGAAGAACTCAGATCTATTCCGTAACTGAGAAAGGAGTAGGACCATTTACTTATATTTAGTATTCAATACATGGTACTTGTATTCGTTTTACACGTTCATGTAAACTCAGTTTATTTAAATACGGATGTTCACAGTATTCAACTCAGACTTGTTAGTACTGCATTTTGTTTTTGGAAGATATATTCACAGATTCTCTCATCTCGATGTTTGTGTTATTTTTCATCACTTTCAGTTCCAATAAAGGTTTGGCCAGAACTATTTGTGAGGTCGTACTCGTCACATTACATTTTTTAGTCTTGAATGTAAGGTCTTAAATTTGGTCAAAGTGGCCTTAAAAAAGGTCTTAAAAAGTCTTAAATTTGGCTCCCTTAGACCTGCAGACACCCTGATTGCCGGTTGAATTCAGGATGAATTTTAATGTTTTTTTGTTTTTAAGTCCTTGAATGGTCAAGCCCCCTCCTACCTGAGAGTGTTGTTCCACCCCTACTAGCGTCCTTGTGCCCTGAGGTTTGCTCGTTCAAGGCTTGTGGTGAAAGGGACTTCTCCACGTGCACCAAAACTCCGGAACTCCAGGTTAAGCCGGTGCCTTCGATCACCGCTTTCAAATCTCATCTGAAAACACGTTCTTTCTCCTTGGCTTTTACCTCTTAGGCCTGGTTCTGATATTTTACATTTGCGTATTTTATGGTTCTAACTGCTCGTTCGGTTTGATTTCAGTCCTTTTCTTTTCAACTGTACTGTCTTTGTGATTGTTGAGCCTGTTTTAAATTGCGCAGCGTTTTGGTCAGCTGTTTCCCCAAAGTACGACTTACAAGGCATTCATTTCTACTAGAGACCACTGCAACTGTTCCACACCTTTAATCAGTGTTTATATTCTATTCTTTCAGGGACTTTATGTCAGCCATGACCCAAAACAACGTGAATGCCACCATCTACTGCCCCTTGATTGAAGTGGTGAGGAACAACAATCAAACCAACGACAACGCCAATGCCTTAGTGGTTTGCTTCCATGGGATCTTCTCAGCCATAGGGATCTTTGAAAACGCTTTCATCATCTGGATGTTGGGTTTTCGCCTCAAGCGTTGCAACACGGCCTCTGTCTGGGTGCTGAACCTGGCCCTGTCGGACTTCCTTGCCACCCTGACGCTCCCACTCTTCACTGTCTACTTTTACAATGACAACAGCTGGGAGCTTGGAGAACCACTGTGCAAAATGCAGTCGTCCATCTTTTACCTGAACATGTTTTTCTCAGCCTTCTTGCTGGCAGTCATTTCCCTGGACCGCTTACTTCTGTTGGCCACGCCGCTGTGGAGCCGGCACCATCGGTCAGTGTCCGGAGCCTGGAAGGTGTGTGCACTGGGATGGCTGTGGGCCGCATTAAACACGACCCCTTACTCTTTGTTTCGTGCAGTGATTGAAAAGGAGGGTGAACACAAGAAAAAGCTGTGCTATCACAACTTTGCTTTGTTTTTGTCCTCTGATGAGACGTTGGAGAGAGACTGCAATGTCAGACAAGCGTCCACAGCCATCTCCAAAACACTGCTAGCTTTTATCATCCCTCTGGTGATAATCACAGGAAGCTACATCGTGGTCACCTTCAAACTGAGAGAAATGGGTAAGAGGAAAAGGCAAAGCACCAGAAGGTTTTCCGAGATGAACTTGAACGATGTTAAAGAGTCAGGAGAGAAATATCTCTCTGCAACCAAGCTCAGATCAAGTTCCACACCTCCCAACACTCCTGCTCCACTAGGGATACCCAAAAGCTTCTCAAGAATGGTGAAGATTCTGATCGCAGCATTTGCACTCATCTGGGCTCCTTATCACATCGCCTGCATGCTGGAAATGATGGCTGATGCAGGAAATGCTTCCAGAGTGGTGGACAAGTGGCTTCCCGGAGCTGCAACGTTTTCCTTCTTAAATCCTCTGCTGAACCCCGTTCTGTACGCCTTCAGCTGCCCACAGTTCTGTGTTCGGATCCGACAGAGTCTGGCGTCTGTGTTTGAAGGACTCCTGCAGGAGGAACTGGGGGGATGCAAAGATCCTGGGAACTCTAATCGTATCTGACCTGCCTCCACCTTAAAGAGTAACTAAACCCCTAAATAACTTTATTTGTGTCTAATTAACTGTATAATTGGGTCTTTACAAATGCAATCTTTCTGTTTCTGTGCATTTTTTTTTACATGTTTGTGTAAACTTTAGGTCTAAACACGTCTCAGTGCTGCCCCCTGTGGCAGAACAGCAGCTACTGCATTTTAAACTTGTGATTGGCTGGGACTGGAACAATTTCACGTCATGGGAACACCCCCCCCCCCCCCCCCCCCCCTTCCAGGATGTTAAATTCCCCACACTTGGCCATGCCACCCTGTGCCTCCTGGCACCGCCTACTTTCATAGCATTTTTTTCAATCTTGACTGGGGGTGGAGTTACATTTTCTGATGGTGTGCAGTCCCTCTTTAGATGATCAAGTGGGTCCCATGGAGAGAAGAAAATGAGCTAAAGCTAAGCTAAGAACGGTCTAGGCCAGGGGTGTCCAATCCTGGTCCTGGAGGGCCGGTATCCTGCATGTTTTAGTTTGAACTCTGTTTCATCACACCTGATTTCAATCAGCAGCTAATTAACAGGCTTCTGCAGAGCCTGATGAGCTGCTGCACAGGTGTTTCAACCACTGAATCAAGTCTGTTGGAGTAAAAAAAAAAACACAAAACCTACTGGATACCGGCCCTCCAGGACCAGGATTGGACACCCCTGGTCTAGGCTCATATTTATGAGTATTACATGCAAAGGAAATGCATGAAAATAATTTGGCTAACTTAGAAATGAAGTGTTTCTTCTTTCCTCGCAGCAACACGTGCAAAAAAAGGTATTTATTTTTACTCTTTTGCTTTTTTTATTCAGCTGACTCTTTTCTTTCTTTTGGGCAAATGAAACATTTTTTCAAATGTGTTTTTTATGCCAGATATTAAGGAAAGGAAATTATTATCCAAAACTACAATGAAATCATTGTTATGGTTGCTGCCTCTTTGCCCTGGGAGCAAACTTCTGCTGTCCAGAGGCCTTCAACAGGACCGCTCCTCCTCCTCCTCCTCTTCCTCCTCTTCCTCCTCCTCCCCTCAGCAGAAACGGCTGCCTCTGATTTGTTGATCGCCACATTGTTGAGTGTAAAGATGGCGGAGACTCACGCCCTTAAAATCTTCCTTTTAGATCTAAATCCAGCCACCAGAGGGCAGCAGAGTACAGATTACACAAACAGACCTAAGTGAGGGAGTCAGGTTAGGTTTT